CAGGTAGAAACAGTGAATATTCTCCCAACTATTATCTCGTCCACAGGTGTCATCCCAACATCCCTACACACTAGCCTCAAGGTATTACAACTTCACCCACTTACTTTCATCCTTCTCCAAAAAGCTGTAATATTAAACACTTGTAGAATAGTCCGCAAATTTTTGTCTTCCACTTAAAAATTATCCATCCTCATCATTCATAATTTATACTATCATTGTTTGGTGATTTTTACCCGCAATGATACCCCATCAAAGAGAGATATATAATATATATATAAAGAAATAATAATAATAATAATGGTGTCATACCAACATCCTGTTTGTTGTTGTTGTGTATTGTATTTTGTTTGACTTCACTAATGTAATGTGTATATCTGTTTTTATTTTTGTTCTTATTATTACAGTGCCTTTTGTGTGTGTGTGTGCCTTTAACGTGAATAAATTTTTTTTTTTACCTATCCTTACACTCTAGCCTCAAAATATTACAATTTCACCCACTTACTTTCATCCTTCTCCAAAAAGCTGTAATTCTAAACACCTGTAGAATAGTCCGCAAATTTTTGTCATAATAATCATTTCTTTTATAATTGTCATCGTTTGTTGATTTTCACCCGTAATGACAAGTTTAACACCCCATCAAAGGGAGATATATAATATATATTTTTTTCATCAATGCTGTTGGCTGGACCGATATATAATATATATATAAACAATAATAATAATAATAAATTTTATTTCATTAACCAAGATGTTTTACAAAGTTTTACATATCAAGAATCATATATTGTTATTTATATATTTCCGCTGGGATACATACTTGTGATATAAGATCACGCTCTTCTAGGGTTATTTATTATTATATTAAGAATTTGTTTCTACTGTAAAAGACTGTGTGTGTGTGTTTGTGTATGTATGTGAGTGTATATGTGTGTGTGGAAGGGTGTTGGGTGCGTGTGTATGTTTATTAAAATATTATAATCATTGTAGTCTAGACTGTATGACTATACTTCCATACAACCTTTCATCCCCTTACAACCCTTTTTCGTATTAAAAAGTAGCCTATATCCTTCTCAAGGTCTAGACTATATGTGTACCAAATTTCATTGAATTTGGTTAAGTAGTTTTGGCATGAAAGCGAGACAGACAGACAGATAGAATTACTTTCGCATTTATATATTAGTAAGGTTATTAACAACACTGTGTCTATGGATATACAAATTGTAAGTAGATACACAAAAGAAATTGTTTTTATTCATACACTCTTGACATCCTCGTGAGTCTAGCTGTTTAACACACTGTTTTACTTCCGATGGTCGTGGGTTCGATTCCTCGCACGGTGCAAAAATTTGTATTCATGCATATTATATAATCGTTTGTATCGTTCTACCACGCTCCTCTGAAATGGCTTGACCGATTTTTATGAAATTTTATATGCATATTCGGTAGGTCTGAGAATCGGCTACTATATATTTTTCATACCTCTAAGTGATAAGGGTTGTCCACCCCTAACATTATTTTTTTATTTTTTGGGCAAAAACCGCCAATCGAGGGAGCGCCAATGGCATGGGAAGTGTTTCCACTCGTGTTTACACTCTCGCGCTGCTCACTTCCCTGCCCACTCCTGCTGTGTCTAAAATGGGCATAAACTATAAGCGCAGGCACCATTCCATTATCATCCATAAGACATATTAGGAATCAATAAACCTTTTCACATGCCATTGAGTGTGTACGTGATAATAAACACGTGCCTACAGTCTCATGGCTAACGACCTAACACCATGGCGTCTGCCCCCATTGTAACTTATGGCTTACCTGATCGCTGAAAGGTTAATTGAATCAATAATTTATCTAACACGTTTGTGATCTGCCTATTGACAGTGAATCAATGTGAAGGTCATTGCAAGTGGCGACATCTATCGCGCCAACGCGGAATTAAAATGCAGAAATATTCATATTTGCAATGTAGTTTATGCAATTATAAATAGATGGCGCTAGGTGACTATGCAATTAGTGTTTAGGAAATTAAAGAAATATAAATAATTACTTAGTTATAATTACTATGTGTTATTCTGACGTATAAGCTATATTACTGTATAGTTTTCATCAAAATGCGTTCAGTAGTTTTTGCGTGAAAGAGTAACAAACATTCATCCATACTCGCAAACTTTCGCGTTTATAATAATTAACACATATAACATAATATTACATATAAGATTAGTTAAATTATTCAAGAATTTATAGAAATATGTTTGAAATATTGAAGTTTTTCCATTACTTAATTATATATAATTAATTTACTGTCCCCAAGTATCGTTTAGAAAAAGTCAATAGGTCTTTTATGGGAATAGGTATAAAATTTTACAATAAGATACCAAAGGATATATTGGAATTTCCCTTAAATAAACTCACAACATCTGTTAAATCATATTTACGGAGCAAGGCCTATTACTCACTAAACGATTACTTGAATGACGAGCGTGCATGGCAATAGTTTTCATGTTCGGGATTTTCATTTAATGTTAGACATAGACACCTATATAAATACCTATGCATTGTAAATAAACTGGATTTAAAAAAAAAGTAATTCAATTGAGTTTCTTGCCAGTTCTTCTCAATTGGATCTTTATACCGAACTGGACGGTAGGGAAAAAATTCTAATGTAAAAACTTGACGTTCATAAGCGGCTAAAATGTCCTATATGAATAAATGATTTTTGAATTTGAATTTGAATTAGTTATACATAAATTAATACACAAGATCTATTCATTTGTGTATAACATTTTGGTAATACTCTGTCTTCTAAAAATACCAATAGACACTGGTATTTTTACCAGTAGTGAAGACAATTATCTCAATTATTTCTGCTTTCGGTTTAAATGGTGAGGAATGGCAGTGAAATTACAGGGTATGGATTCGTCTGAGTTCTCAGGAGTGGCGATTCATGTTGGGTCACATTACGACGGTATTTCCATTGTGTTGTTCATGTATACGAGAAGTGAGGACATTTAGCGTTTTCCATCAAGTGAAAAGAAGTTCTATAGTTTTGTTTTTGTTACAGAATAATCCTATTACTCAGTGGTCTAGTGACTTTTTTATGAATGTATTTGCGCATGATCTGACCTCATCAGATGGAAAATTATCTAGGATGTAACGCGCTTACCCAGAGGAGATCTATTCACTATTCAGACTTAAAGAATCTAGGGTTGTATTTCTCCAGAAATACGACAGTGCGTATATCTATATTTTCACGAGGGAGGGATGAAATTCTAGGGTTTAGGATGATAAACATTATTTGATGATCATGGATTCGTTTCACTGTAGAAACAAAAAAAATTAGAAACCTTTTGTTATTCTATAGGGCACTGTACATCGGATTGGTCGTCAACTTATTTTTTTTTTATGAAAATTTTACGGCTCTGGATACAAGTCCTTTTTAGCCTAACATAAAATATAAATACTCTGCTTTTCCAGCCTTTTTAGGCAACTAATGCCATTTTCCGTTACGTGGACTTTCCTTCAGTCGTATCATAGATAAGATCATATTACATAGTCGTATTATAAAATATATATATGTATATATGATAAAACAGCGTTTCTTCAGTACTTACCATTACATTTTTTTGTTTCATACATATGTTAATTGTTCCAATTATTACAAAATCAAATTCAAAAATCATTTATTCATGTAGGACATTTTAGCCGCTTATGAACGCCAAGTTTAGATATGGATAATATTTTAAGAAAGGTGTTACATATGAATGTGGATGGTTATAAGGGCAGAGGAAGGCCGGAAAAGAGATGGATGGACTGTGTGAAAGATGATATGGTGAGAAAGGGAGTAAATAACGCGATGACTGCGAACAGGGATGAATGGAAGAGAAAAACATTACGACGACCACAAATAAATGGGATAAGGAAGAAGCAGATGATGATGATGATGATGAACGCCAAGTTTCTACATTATAATTTTTTTCCCTACCGTCCAGTTCAGTATATAGATCCAATTGAGAAGAACAGGCAAGAAACTCATTTGAATTACTTTTTTTACTATTACAATAAAAAATAGATTTATTATAAGTTGCACAATTATAATTTAAAATTTATTACGAATTGTTATTCTTATAATAATAATTAATTAATGTAAATCTACTTAAAACATTTATTTAAAAGAGCAACACACAAGTTTCTTGCTCATTCTTCTTGTGATGAGTCTGCGTCCCGAATGTATGGTAGAATTAAAATGACAGTTCAAAAGTGCTTATATTAAGTTTATTTGAATAAGGATTATTTCTATTTCTATTAATGACGACCTCGGTGGTCTAGCGGTTTTGCACACCGTTTTACATCCGATGGTCGCAGGTTCGATTCCTCGCACGGCACAAACATTTGCATTCATGAGTATGATTGTTTCTATAATATCGGTCTGGGTATTTTCTATGTATAATATGTATGTATTTACGAAAAAAAATTATCTACGTATTTGTATCAGTTGTCTAGTACCCATAACACAAGCTTTAGCTTGCTTAACTTGGGTCTAGATGGCGCTGTGTGAATTGTCCTGAGATTATTATTATTATTTTTAATAATTCCAGTGTATTTTGGGCTGTCTATCTCCAGTAGGCCTGTTGGTAGCTTTATTTCATCTTTCCACCATCTTTATGTTCGACCTCTTTATCTTTTTGTTTCCCTAGGATACTAATCTGTTATACGTTCTTAAAAAGTCGTATAAAATAGTTGAATATATCCAATTACGTAACGGAAGTACAAAAAATGATAAACAGATGGTCCCATTAAAGTGCTGCGTAACATTTGTCATTAAGATACAAATTGATTATATGCGGTTTTATTGTATTAGAACAAAGCAGATTTCGCTATTATCACCTCTATTTTTTAATTGCTAAGGTAGGTATATCGTTGTATAACTTACGTTAATTGCATTATATAAGTTTCCAATACGTATAAATACTGCTACATTTGTTGGTTAACCGTTTAAGCGATCCCTGGTCCATTGACAGTTATACAAAATGAAGGTGCAGTTATTTATATCTGTTTGTTTTTCTGTGTGTGTGTGCATTTATGGACAGAAAATAGGTGAGTAGAAATCTTTATTCAAATATTATTTTCCGTAATAAATAATTCGTTCATACATAATTTTGTTTATCGAGAAAGCATTAATAATTATAACGCTGTGTGTACAGCGCCATCTACTCCCAAACTCAGCAGAGCTTATTTTAGAAAAAGCAAACAATTTTAGAAGTAGAATTAATCTTTATTCAAATAAACTCATTACAAGCACTTTTGAATAGTCATATTTTGATTCTACCACTCATTCGGAATGCAGATTCATCACAAGAAGAATGAGCAAGAAATAAATAATTACTTGTGTGTTGCTCTTTTTAATAGATGTTTTTTTTTATATAAATAATTACAGTATAACAAGTAAGAGGCATGCGATAATCAACATAGAAGTTGCTACGCACTCAAAATTCAAAATTAATAGAGAATAAAATATATATAAAAAGCAAAAATTAAAAGTTATTAAAAACATTATATAAACCTTTAAAAAAATCCCCAAATATTAATTTCGAGTAAGTAGGAATAGCGATGGTCGGAAAACTATAATTGGGATCTTCATAAACATAACTGAAGCTGAATTTATTGTTAGAATTTTTATCTGTTTGCCTGTGCATGCTAATCTCAGAAACAGCTTAACTGATTCGTGTGTGGTTTTCACACAGTAATATGGAAGGTTTCAGTAAATAAAAGCTTAGCTTTTGTATCATTATAACCGGTTTAGAAACAAAAAAGCATCGAATTGTCTAGTTACTATTTTATTTTTTATTTTATCAAATTATATTTATTTTTTTCTTTAGTTCATTCTAATCTCATGTATATAAATATACTATGCGACATCATCTGTTAACTAATATAATTACTATGTTTACGATTAGTTTGTCATAAATAACCAGTTCAATTTACAAGTACTTAACTGGTAACTTAACTTGCACAAATTAGGTTAAATAACATTTCTTGACCTAATACAAGTATATGTTTTTATACACGTAAATAATGGTATAAAATTCGAATAGTTTGTTACTTAACTGGTAAATTAACTTGCATAAATTAGGTTAAAAAACATTTAGTTAACTGAATCCAAGTATTCACATGTTTTTATACATGCAAATCTATACATATAAATAAAATTGGAATATCTGTTGGTAATAATGAAATAACCGTTTTTTACTACATACATATGAATATAAATACGGTACATACACCAAAATAACATTTATTAAAATTTTTGTCTGTCTGTCTGTCGATTTTGACGGGACTTTTATTGGCAGGTAGGTAATGTAATAACGAGTAACTTAGGCTACTTTATTTTGGAAAAAATAATGTTAAACTCCACGCGGACGAAGTCGCGGGAACAGCTAGTATTAATATAAAATTGAAATACTTTGTTTTGCATACGTCTGTACGGATATTAATGTAAAAAGATGCTGATGTATGAAACATAACGTCTGTATGACACGATTATGTATGGGTGTCAAGGTTGCCTAGGTCGGTACTCGGGTAATTGCTGCCACAGCGAAAGTGAAAATAAACCGGTCAAGTCCAAGTCGGACGTAAACATCTAGGATTCCGTACTAATTTTAATAATATCATGAACGCGAAAGTTTGTGAGTAAGGAAGTTTGTTACTCTTTCACGCAGAAACTACTAAACGGATTTTAATGAAACTTTACACTTTTTTGATGATATAGCTACATCAGAATAACATATAGGCTATAAATTTCATGCGGATAAAACCGTGGGCACAGGTAGTATATAATAATATTGTTTGTAAAGAAATTGTTATTGTTATGTTAGACCCTGACACAGATAGCACGATAGGGTATACGCATACGATCAAACAAAATAATCGCAAGGTTTTAGTTGGTTTGAGTCAAATAAAGAATAATATCCTTGAATAACTCTAACAGCGCCTTCTAGTCCCAAACTAAGCAGAGCTTGTTAGTACCACAGATAACATAATGTAGAACCACAGATAATATAATGGTAGAACTAAACAACAGTAAATATCATCATTGCCTTGCCTTTATCCCATTATTTGGGGTCGGCGCAGTATGTCATTCTCTTCCACTGATCTCTATCAGTCGTCATATCTAAACATACTCTTCTTTTATTCATATCATCTTTCACACAATCCATTCATCTTTTAAACAACAGTAAATAAAAAAATATATTTACTTACATAATCGCAAGGAATCAAACCCATACTTTAGAAACAAAAATTTAATATTTCATTCTTTTTTTAAAACATGCACTGGGTTTATTTTGTATACTTTACTACTCGATACTATACGACTTGTATACTTTGTCACATAATGTCACAGAATGTCACAGTTTATCCACCCCTTCTCCTTCTTAATATGTACCCACCAAGATGTTATGTACCTATAGCCTTAATTTCGATGTTTTTGTGTATGGACGAAAAAAGTTGTAAGGGTTCCATTTATTTTTTTTTTATTTGGAACCCTAATAAATAAATGGTATATTATGATGTGTTACTTAAGTATATACCACGTACATACCCATTATATGTCTGTCCGTCTATCCTTAGAACTTCCTTTGATATTATTTAATTGACAACCAAATAAACACTGCTATTTTTATCATAGCGTCTAGTTTTTTGACCTCGATAGTCTAGTTATTAACATGCTGTCTTAAATTGAAATGATCTAAGAATCGATCCCTGGATAATACTAACATTTTAATAAATAAATAAATGACTGGACAATTAACACAGCGCCATCTAGTCCCACGGTAAGCAGTGCTTGTGTTATGGGGACTAGACAACTGATATAAATACTAAGATATTTTTTTGTAAACACATAGAAAATACACAGACCGATACAAACAATGATACTCATGGATACAAATGTTTGCACCGTGCGAGGAATCGAACCCGCGACCATGGGGGGTAAAGCGATGTACTAAACCGCTAGACCACCGAGGCCGTCAAATTAATGAATACAATTTATATCTTTAGGTTGTAATGTTTTTTATAGAATAGAAAATAGAATAGAACAGTCTTTATTCAAATGACATTTAATTTAAGCACTTTTGAATAATCATCCTTAATTTTTTAATCTACCGCTCCTTCGGAAAGCTGTCTTATCACAAGAAGAACGAGCAAGTAACTTGTTAAAAGTTTATTAAATATGTATCTATTGTTTGTTTATCATCATTACATAGTATAAAACAAAGTCGCTGTCGCTGTCTGTCCCTATGTGTGCTTAAATATTTAAAAGTGATTCAAGAGCAGGTTTATATATACAATACATGTACACCCGTGCGAAGCTGAGGCGAGTAGCTTTTTAAGTATATTTTAGAAAATTAAAATTATGTTTTTCTTCGAACTACTCTAATGCTTTTTTAGTCTTTAAAGTTTCACCGGACGATAGGGGGTGAGTGCAGATGGCACGTCAAACCAAAGGACTTATGGAGTGGCGGAAGGTCAACTTCTGTCTGAAGGATACGACTTTAGTATGAGGGCACCACTAGGGGTTCGAACCACGGCTCATACCGTCGTAATATCGATCCCCATTTTTGCACGGGGATCGTCGTATAGTACCCTACTTCATAAGATAGGATCTGGAGTGTAACTTCCTCTTGACGGATACGATTTTAATCTGAGGGCTAAACGGGGGATCGATCGGAGGGCCTTATTTCATAGGACAAAGGACCTTCATAGGACAGGCTGTGCAGTGCTATGTAACTTGTTTTTCGTTATTTATTAATTTACTTGCAAAATTAATGTGTTTTACACTTGAAACTAATATAATTGTTTTAGTTGTGGAAATATTTGGAGAGTTACGTATATTCCTAATGATTTATATAATTTATTTCACACTTACTATTGTAGATAAGTTAGTTGATAATTATATATTAATTGGAAGTAATGGTCGCGGACATCATTACATAGTATAAAACAAAGTGACTGTCGCTGTCTGTCCCTATGTATGCTTAAATATTTAAAACTACGCAACGGATTTTGAAGCGTTTTTTTTTATAGATAGACTGATTCAAAAGAAAAGTTTATAGGTATAATACATATACACCTGGGCGAAGCCGGGGCGAGTACCTAGTAATTAATAAATGAATTTATGGATATGTTTTACATACATTTTATTAATTAACTAGCTGTACCCGCGACTGCGTCCGCATGGAATTTAACTTTATTTTTCTAAAATACAATATTTTTTTAAATAAAAGTAGCCTAAGTTACTTCTTATTACATCAGCTACCTGCCAAAAAAAGTTCTGTCAAAATCGGTCAAGCCATTTCAGAGATTAGCCGGAACAATCAGACAGAGAAAAATTGTAAAAGAAATTATTTTGATGTATGTACCGTATTTATATTCATATGCATGTAGTAAAAACACGGTTATTTCAATATTACAAACAGACACTCCCATTTTATTTATATGTATAGATTTTAGGTAACTTTATTAAGTTATATAATAATAATGGCCCATATTATAAATACCTTAAGGGTTATATATATCTTAATCAATACGTAGTATAAAATAAAGTCGCTGTCACTGTCTGTCTGTCCCTATGAATGCTTAAATCTTTAAAACTACGTAACGGATTTTGAAGCGGTTGTTTTAGTAGATAGAGTGATTCAAGAGGAAGGTTTATATATATAATACATGTACACCCGTGCGAAGCCGGGGCGAGTAACTAGTCACTTAATATATTAATCTATGGTTTTATTTCAGCGCCGTTTATCACGCCATGTCGCCAGACTGACAGCAGGTGCTTGAAGACATCAGCTCAGAAGGCGGTGCCCATCCTGGCCCCGGGCTACCCCGATTTCGGTATGGATTCCCTGGACCCGATGCACATCAGCCGGATCAAGTCCAACCAAGCTGGACTCCAGATGGACTTCAAAAACAATGTTGTTAAAGGCCTGCGGAAATGTCAAATATTGGATTTAGCGTGAGTATTATTTTATAGCTCTGTCTGTCGGTTTACATCTACTGAACCGATTTTGATAAAACTCAAAATTCAAATTCAAATTCAAAATATCTATATTCATATAGTTCTATTACAGACTCTTATGATATGTCAAATCTACCGTCAGTTCGGAATGATTTCGAAATGAGAACTGACAAGAAACTCTGCTCGTATTCTTTTCAAATAAATTTGTACATGTTTACAATAATATAGATTCATTTTTAAATTCACTTTTGTGAGAATAGAGTGACCACCAGCATATGCTATTGCAAAAGCAAATAGTCTAATTGTTGTAGAAATGTGTAAAGAAACTATTTGTAACTGGAAAAATGTTTTAATGGTAGATGGTAGAGAGTGAAGTGACAATTATATAATTTTGATTATACAATACAAGAAAACTTTAATCATATTAATATCAAAAGAGTTTCTCAAGTCAAATTCTTTAAATTCAAGTTTAGGAGAATAGAGTGTACCATTTTAACTGTATAATAAAAGAATAGAATTGAATAGAATAAAAAATAATTTATTCAAATAAACTTAATTTAAGCACTTTTGAATAGTCAACATTTTTTTTAAATCTACCGCTCATTCGGAAAGTTGTCTCATCACAAGAAGAACGAGCAAGAAACTTGTGTGTTGTTCTTTTAAATAATCCTTGTAAGTTCACATTTTACTAGTCGAAACGTGTGAATACAAACTACCAACCAGCACTAATTTATTTAGGCTCAAATATAAAAACACAATAAGATTAAATCAGTCGTAGTGATAAGAGCAGACCAGTCCCTACAAGCAGCACTCGTTCACGAGTATGACGGATTTATCTTTATTAATAGGCGTAAAGACAAGAAGATAACAATTAAGACGAAGTGTTCAGCAGTGCTCTTAGGTGACTACAAGCTGGACGGGAAGCTGCTCATTATGCCAATAGAGGGCAGCGGCAAATACAAGATCAAGATAAGTATGTAACTAATTGTTAACTGTAGACGACCTCGGTGGTATAGTAGTTAAGGTAGATGATCGCGGGTTCGACTCCTCGCACGGCACAAACATTTGTATTCATAAGTATGATTGTTTGTATCGGTCTGGGTGTTTTCTATGTATAATATGTATGTATTTACGAAAAACCTATGTATTTGTATCAGTGTCTAGTACCCATAATACAAGGTTTAGCTAGCTTAAGTTGGGACTAGATGGCGCTGTGTGAATTGTTCTGAAATTATTACTTAAAATTATCAATATTATAAATACGAAAGTTTTTGAGTATGGATGTATGTATGTTTGTTACTGTTTCGCGTAAAAACTACTGAACGGATTTTGATGAAATTTTACAGTGATATAGCTTATACATAAGAATTACACATAGACTATACATTTCTAGTGGGTGATACCGCGGAAATTAACCACGATGGTTTTAGCGTGAAGGTCGATCTAACATGGTAAACTGTTAGCAAGGGGGCTACTGTTCCTCATTATTAACAATCCCTCCCCCCCGCCCCCGCCCCCAAATCCTTTTATTATATATATCACTAGCTGTCCCGGCAAACGTTGTTTTGCCTTAAAATAAAAAAAAAATTTAGGGGTGGACTACCCCTAACATTTAGGGGGATGAAAATAGATGTTGGCCGATTCTCAGACCTACTCAATACGCTCACAAAATTTCATGAGAATCGGTCAATCATGTTCAAACCGGTTGGAGGAGTATGGAAACGAAAACTGTGACACGAGAATTTTATATATAAGACTAGAGTTTGCGCTAACGGTCTGTGGCGGGGCCTCAAGAGGATAAAATGACGTTGTCGTTGATTTTTTTTTGTGAAGACGGTTTTCTTTTCGAATAGACTTGGTTGGCAAGTAGAGTTGTCTGTTTTGATACGATTAGGTCACTTCCTATTGTAACAGTGAATTTTTGTTTCACGTGTACTATCCTGTGGCGAAACTTTGTATTGTAATGGTCACAATACAAAACCTAACCTAACCTACCTTTCTGTATACTATATTAGTCTGGGGTCAAAGTTTTTAATGTAGACATCATAATACGAAACCTAAAAATAAACTTTCCAACTTGAACAGTTTACATATTATTCACGAGTATGACGTATACCCATCGTGATAAATTCATCAAGAATTTATCACGATGGTTTCCAGTCAACCTGACATGGTACATTGCTAGCTAGCAATAAGATCATCAGTCCACATTACAAACAACCCCCTCTCCCAATTTATTATATTATAACTATTTGAACTGGCTAATAATATTCAAATTCAAATTCAAAGTCAAAATATCTTTATTCATGTAGGTATATTACAGACTCTTATGATATGTCAAATCTACCGTCAGTTCGGAATGATATCGAGATGAGACGAACTGACAAGAAACTCAGCTCGTTTTTTTTTCAAATAATAGTGGAACATGTTTACAATAATATACAGTCATTAAAATTCAAATTTGTATAGAATAGAGTGACCTCCAGCATATGCTATCGCAATGAAACAAAAAAATTAAATCAGTGTTCACAACCTGAACAGACCAGTCCCCACAAGCAGCACCCGTTCACGAGTATGACGTATGAGCCAGCCATCATTGTACTCAACCATATTTGAGGGAGCACATCGACCCGGCCCACCACGCCGCCACAAGTTTGAACTTTATAGCGAGCATGAGGTTCAGGTTACTCCACTACGTCAATTATATTACATATATATAACAGCATATAACTGTACCGATCACAGTTTTCACCCATTACAATATTAAATTTACAATATGCCATTACAAAATTTATAATAAGTTTCTTTAATATTATTACATTATCCATGTCAATGGGAAAAATTATATACCTCATAACAAAAGTTGAAGTTGTAATTAAGTCCACATATATGTATAACTAAATCTAATATAAATCTGACGATGCTGGTCTAGCGGTCTAGCACACCGCTTTACGACCGATGGTCGCGGGTTCGATTCCACGCACGGCACAAACATTCCTCTCCGATCAATCCCCCGTCCAATTCAAACCGGGATCGAAATTACGAAGGCCTGAGCCGAGGTTCAAACCCCCTAGTGGTGCCCTCAGACTAAAGTCGTATCCGTCAGGCAGAAGTTGGCCTTCAGCCGCTCCATAAGTCCGTCCGCGGGTTTGGAGTGCCATCTGCACTCGGGTAACGTCCGGTGATTTATTAAAGGCCAGCTGCGGCCAACAGCATTAGAGTAGTCCAAAAAAAAAAGGCCCAAACATTTGTATTCATGAGTATGATTGTTTGTATCGGTCTGGGTGTTTTCTATGTATAATATGTATGAATTTACAAAAAAATCTATGTATATATGTATCAGTTATCTAGTACCCATAACACAAGCTTTAGCTAGCTTAACTTGGGTCTAGATGGCGCTGTGTGAATTGTCCTGAGATTATTATTATAATGTAATCGGTTGTTCTCAGATGACATAATGGTGGATTTCTCCTTCGAGATGGGTGAGCGTCAGTCTGCCGGTGAGATGTACTGGGTTTTCCAGGACTGGTCCTACACGCAGCAGGTGATCGGGAATGTACACTTCCAGTTCCAGAACCTCTTCAATGGCAACAGGGAGCTCTGTGAGTGTGCCAAAACTATGTTTTTTTCTTTTATTTGTTTCACTGACGTTATGATTTGCTGTTCACATATTGACTTTAGTTGCATTTTGATATAGCAGAAGTTTTCTTAGGGCTAACTGTGTTTCACTATGTATAAATATATGTATATTTATATATATATATCTAAATATATATAACTCAAAGGTGACATAGTGATCTATCAACGCACAGCCCAAACCACTAGACGGATCGGGCTGAAATTTGTCATGCAGGTAGATGTTATGACGTAGGCATCCGCTAAGAAAGGATTTTTAATTCTACCTCCAAGGGGATAAAATAGGGGATGAAAGTTTGTATATCTCTTCTTAGATTTTCGACTGATTGAACTGAAATTAAAGATTGGAGCTACTATGATGAAGACCTTCGCTTATGTAAATAGGATTTTATAAATTTAACCCCCATGGGGATTAAATATGGGATGATGCAGGATGTAAATACATTAGTTTGAACCTATCAGTACCTAATAGAACGAATAAATTAAGACGAACAAAATAATTTTTAGTTCTTTAGGCTACTTTTATTTTAGAAAAATAAAGTTAAATTCCACGCGGACGAAGTCACGGGAACAGCTAGTATATATATATATATATATGTTATATTTGTAATGCGCACAAACTATACACGCGGTGTTAGTTACTAAAATCTCTATGAAATTTGGTGTGCATATGCAATATGTATGAGAATTGGCTAACATCATCACATAGTATAAAACAAAGTCGCTGTCGCTGTCTGTCCATCCCTATATATGCTTAAATCTTTATAACTACACAACGGATATTTGAAGCGGTTTTTGTTAATAGATAGAGTGATTCTAGACGAAGGTTTATATGTATAATACATGTACACAGTAATACTGGTTCCTGATGCAAAGCCGGGGCGCGCGTAGCTAGTGTATTATATTTTTCATTTATTTATCATTAATTTATCCCTCAGGTATATCTACGTACCCACCCTAAATATATATTTGTTTTGATTTCCCAGCGGATTCCATACATGAGTTCGCTAACAGCAACTGGCGGGATATCTTCAACGAGCTGTCTCAACCGATCATGGATGCTGTGATGAAGAAGACCGTCATGGAGATAAGGAAACTCTTCGACAAGGTGCCCCTGAAGCAGCTCGCCTTGGATTAAACCTTATAAACTATTTCCTTGAGATAATAATAAAAAAAATACTCGAGATTAAGAACAATTCTGAAGTTATTACTTATCTTTGAGATTTATTGTCATTTATAAGTATATTAAAGTTATATTGTTAAAAACATATTTTTTTATTTATTAGACAGTAACGTAACTAAACCATTTGAGGCCCGTGGCAAATTGATCGGTTGCCACTTCCCTCCTGTTTTTTTTTTACAACATATGCATGTAGGCAACTAAATAGGTATTTTTTTATTAGGGTTTTTAAAGTATTGTCAGGTGCTAAAACCAATAACACTACGACCTCTTTAAATCTTTTATGCTCGCCCTTTTTCAAAGTTCGTTACCTAGACCCGTTAGGGAAGGCAAGAATTGAAGGATATTATTAGGAGCGATGATTTTTATCTCTTCAGGATAGAGTGTATATTTCCCAGGCAAAGAAGATTTTTCAAGTAGGTAAAGTAACATAAATTAAAAACTAACCATTTTTTTTAAAATAAATATGTAATAATTAATGTTACACAGTTTTAAAAAACATCACAAAGAATACTTATTAATAAAACAAATTTTAGGCATTCCACATAAATTTCTTGGCTAGCGGTTGCAATCTCACGTAATTTTTAATAAAAAAATTTCTATCTTATTAATTTTTTCTTTTTTTTCGTTTAACCCTTACCACTCAGTTAAAATTATATCAAATTATACTCTGAACTATTTACATTATTTTTATTATACACACACCGCACAGACAATCACCAATAATATTGCTCTTTTTATTTTAATTATTATTTTCACGTACCCTCAAATGAGTTAAGGCTGAAAATCAGTGTTTTGTTCTCTGAACATTGTTCCACGCTGAGCTTCGACCTTTTTGTATTGCTACAGATCACACATAGTAACACAATTTTATAAATCTTATGTCGTATTATGTATTGTCTATTCTTATGAACATATTGTGTGTGATTAGTAACAAACAAATAAACGATATATTTATCTATCTTACTAGTTGGGATTCTCCTCTGACCGCGAGGGCCCTTTCCGGCTGCGGGCTCGTGGCATTTTGCCGACTTAGCACCCTGCTGTTACGCCACTGTTATTAATAATACTATAATTGTTATGTAGGCAGTGTTATATTATTTGCCTGTTGATTTTTATATAGCAATAACACATAAATACAAGTATTAATACTCAAGTTTAATATTAACATCGCATACAGCTATAACGTCCTCATTAACCTTTTTGGTTTTTTTTTCGGACTACTCTAATGCTGTTGGCCGCAGCTGGCCTTTACAGCTTCACCGGACGATAGGGGGCGAGTGCAGATGGCACTCCAAACCAAGGAAGGACTTATGGAGCAGCTGAAGGCCAACTCCTGCCTGACGGATTGACTTTAGTCGGAGGGCACCACTAGGGATTCGAACCTCGGCTCAGGCCGTCGTAATTTCGATCCCCGTTTGAATTGGACAGGGGATCGATCGGAGGGAGCATCGATCGGAGGGAGGATCGATCGGAGGGAGGATCGATCGGAGGGAGGATCGATCGGAGGGAGGATCGATCGGAGGGAGGATCGATCGGAGGGAGGATCGATCGGAGGGAGGCTCGATCGGAGGGAGGATCGCGCAGCTGCGGTAGGGTAATGAGGTCCCCTCATTAACCTACCGCAGCTGCGCGCCGTGCAATATTGAGTATCTGTGGCGCATTACTATTTGCGCGGGAAAATAAAAAAGACTTAAAATCTACGTCTTCTATAAACATTTGTTTGGTTCTACATTGTTAATATTAGGTCTCGTAGAATTACCCTCTCATCTGGGCAGGACACTCGCAGACAGACTCAGACACTATAGCCCCCTCTGTGCAGCATCCTTAATACCTACATAACATTTCTCTGCTGACATTTGCGTTTTCGGACTACTCTAATGCTGTTGGCCGCAGCTGGCCTTTACAGCTTCACCGGACGATAGGGTGGCCCCCTATCGTCCGTGCAGATGGCACTCCAAACCAAAGGAAGGAGTCCAAACCAATGGAGCGGCTGAAGGCCAACTCCCGCCTGACGGATAATAATAATAATAATCTCAGGACAATTCACACAGCGCCATCTAGACCCAAGATAAGCTAGCTAAAGCTTGTGTTATGGGTACTAGACAACTGATACATATACATAATATTGTTTTCGTAAATACATACATATTATACATAGAAAACACCCTGACCGATACAAACAATCATACTCACGAATATAAATGTTTGTGCAATGCGAGGAATCGAACCCGCGACCATTGGACATAACCACCAAGTTAATACATCGGTCGTCAATAGTCGGATACGACTTTAGTCTGAGGCCACCGCTAAGGTTCGAACCTCAGCTCAGGCCGTCGTAATTTCGATCCCCGTTTGAATTGGACGGGGGATCGATCAGAGGGGGTTTCGATCGAAGGGAGTTCTGTTAGTCTGTGTCATTGAAGGATATTAAACACTTCGTATTTCGTAATGGCTATGTCTATAAAGCTACAGGAAAATTGTTTAACTTAGAAATAAAGACTCGTGTGAATTACATCATCATACCGGCGGCATGCGTCGCCATTTTCAATAAAAAAAAACTATTTATTTATTAAAGACTAGCTGTACCCGCGACTTCGTCCACGTGGAATTTAACTTTATTTTTTTAAAATAAAAGTAGCCTAAGTTACTCCTTATTACATCAGCTACATGCCAAAAAAATCCCGTCAAAATCGGTCCAGCCATTTCAGAGATTACCCGGAACGAACAGACAGACAGACAGACAAAAATTGTAAAAAATGTTATTTTGGTGTATGTACCGTATTTATATACATATGCATGTAGTAAAAAACGGTTATTTCAATGTTACAAACAGACACTCCAATTTTATTTATATGTATAGATGTATATCCATATTGTTGAGGGTGTTCGTGTTTTAGTTCTTATTTAAGTACCTACATATTATTAATAAAGCAGTTATTATCCAGATCTCGTAGTTTCTATACACTACACATATAGATAGTTAAAATAAAAATTAGATCATATCCGTCAGGCGGGAGTTGGCCTTCAGCCGCTCCATAAGTCCTTCCTTTGGTTTGGAGTGCCATCTGCACTCGCCCCCTGTCGTCCGGTGAAGCTGTAAAGGCCAACTGCGGCCAACAGAAAAAGAACCTCTGTCGCACTAGCAGCCTTCAGCCGCCAAGCTTTCTTCTCCTTTCCTTTTCTTTTCCTTTTATTTCCTGGGCCTCAATTAAAGAATATCAGCTAACATGAAGCAGTGAATTTACAAGTTATGACAGTATACAACTTAGTTCTAGAAGTTAGAATAGACTCTATCTATCCATGACATGGTCGAGTGGAATGAGTAGTCATGCTCACTAAAATGTCCAGACATGTGGCGGCGTGGTGGGCCGGGTCATTGGGCTCCCTAAAATATGGTCGAGCGCAGTGATGGCTGGCTCATACGTTATACTCGTGAACGAGTGCTGCTTGTAGGGACTGGTCTGCTCTTATCACTACGACTGATTTAATCTTATTGTATATTTATATTTGACCCAAAAAATTAGTGCTTGTTGGTAGTTTGTATTCACACGTTTCAACTTGTAAATGTAAACTTACAAGGATTATTTAAAAGAGCAACACACAAGTTTCTTGCTCGTTCTTCTTGTGATGAGACAGCTTTCCGAACGAGCGGTGGATTAAAAAAAATGTTATGACTATTCAAAAGTGGTTAAATTAAGTTTATATGAATAAATGATTTTCTATTCTATTCTATTCTATTCCATTTATCATTATCACATAGCATTCTTTTCGTTCCGCGAAGCAAATGACATGACTTTTTGACCTGACTTCACGCCATTATATTTCCTCTATAAACAGCTATTATTTATGGTAATTGTCTATAGAAAACCAAGTATACAAAGTGCAAATTCAATTAAACCTGCAATTATGTAATAATATGAATAGTATACCTAAGCATACACATAATTGATTACCGAGAAATACACACTATACACTCTGTACGGATGTCTATACAAGTGAATGATTACGTAACACATTCGTTAGTAATAAGTTTGTTACAGGTGTTGCCGTCACCGGAGAGTTAGTCTTGAGTGCGAGTACTAAAGTTTATATGAAGATAAACAAAAAACAACTTCCTATAAATTTATTTGTTTATTCAAATTCAAATTGATTAAATAAATAAATATATTCAAGCTACATTACATTACACAAAAGTTCAAATTTCGAATTCAAAATATCTTTATTCATGCAGGTCTATTACAGACTCTTATGATATGTCAAATCTACCGTCAGTTCGGAATGATTTCGAGATGAGAAGAACTGACAAGAAACTCAGCAAGTCTTTCTATCAACACTTTTTTATACTTATATATTTTTCTTCTATTTATCACACATACTTATAATTAAAATGAAGAATCAGTTAAATGGATGAATTATATTTAAATTCATCACGAATGCTATTTATTTTTTTCAAGTGGCTCCACTGAAAATCAGCGCTGTAGTGACACGCTGCGGCACCAGCTGAGTGGAAGCCTTTTCAGCATAGCAAATCATTAGTTTTTAAGTTTTCTTTTTTACTCTGTACTCTTTTTCATGCTGAATAAATGATTACTATTATTATTCATATTAGTATTATTAAATTAAAAACAATCATTTGTTCATATAGGACATTTTAGCCAGACAGACATTTACAGACACTCCAATTTAGTTATATGTATAGATATAGGTGACTCGCGCAACTTCGTCTGTAACATTTATCATACATTATATTTCGTCGAATTTTGGATAATATCCTTTTAAATCATAGCCTATATGTTATTCTGATGTATAAGCTATATTACTGTAGAGTTTCATCAAAATTCGTTCAGTAGTATTTGCGTGAACGAGTAACAAACAATTTTAGAGTAGTTAAGTTCACAGCAGATCGATTATGGATCCTGTTGGGGACTGCAAGCAAGGGAAAGAGAGAGGGCGAGTTCGTTGATATATAATTATAAAATAGAATAAATATATATACATATACAATTGTAAGAACAATGTGAAGTACATTAATAAATTGTTAATGTTAATACTAAT